ATAATTTTTTGAGCTTTAGAAGGATATTTAAAAAGCATAATAAATGTGAGCCAAGTAAATTAGAAGGAAACTTGGAGACTAAGTTTGATTCAAGTGCCAAGATCTATTCTTCCTTTCCTCTCCATTAGATTTATGCCACCTAACTCTCTTTTAGAAGGATGATGTAAGGGATGATATAAAAGTGTACTTGAAATTCCAAATTTGCCCTTACAATTTCTATTAGCTTTCAAGGGCATAATAGTCCATTCAAGGCATAAGTTTTCGCTATAAATACCCCACCTTGGAAGAGCATTTTGGAAAGCATTTTTAGAGAAAAAAATCTAATGAAAATTAGAGAGAAAAACATAGGGGTGAAGGCCAAAAAAAAAAAACAAGGTTCAAACTTCAAGATTAAGATATGTGGTGATTCTAGTACCTGTCTTGATGCTTATTTTGATTAAGTTACTATTTGTATCTGATTCTGAAATTTGGAATGATTAAAGTAGACTCTCTAAGCTTTAAATCCATAGGTAGAACACTTCATTTGGATATATGTACAATTTATGGTGATTTTTCAAATTTAGGGTTTAAAATCTGAAAATAGTTTTGATCACTAGAGCAATAGGAAACTTCCATACAATTCTGGTACTGTTTCGCATAGAATTAGTTCCTAAACTATTTTCTTCTTTAAAGAGAACTTAAGGATATTTTGGTAAGACTTGGAACCACTTAGTTTTCATTTTTCTGAAATTAATTACAAATTTTCAAAGTTGAGCAAAAATTCTGGAAATACTAATGAATAGTACCCGTGAAGCAAGTCTTGAACTTTGTATGATCTCTTAGTCCTAATGAGTTCTATGATCAATATGGCTGTGTTTAAGACCTTAGAACATCTAAGAGGATGTTTTGATGATGTTGACTGAAAGCCCTCATGGTTGGGTAGTCAAGGGAGTCAAAGGAAAAGCAAGATGAAAACTTATGGTATAAGGTAGTGAACTTACCTATTAACATTGCTTGATGTGGTATAAGGTAGTGAACTTACCTATTGATATGTACATGATGATTGGTTGATGTTGTGACATGTTTTGGCTGTTGTAATTGCCATTTATGATGAGTAGATTATGTCTCCATAGCCATGCATTAAGTAGGTAGCATTAAGCATGATAATATGTCACTAATTAACAAGACAATTAGTAAGTTGCGTATAATGCATTAGCATCCATCTAGCATGATTAATATGGTGCTGTTTTGCTACTAAAATTCCCTCGAATCTCACCCCTTCCTAATCAACCATTTAGGTCAAGCATGATAGGCAATGGTTGCATGAAGAGAAGCCAAGAGATTGATGCAAAAAAGTAGAGAATTGTTAGTGTTATTCTGTGATGCTTAAATTCTCTAGTTATGTAATAATTATGGAACATGCCAATTTATGTAAATTAGTTGTATATGACATTGGTGGCATGTAAGAATAAGTATGGGATGTAATAAGAATGCATGAGATTGAATTATGCATGACTTGAATTCTTAAAAGAATTAAAGTAAGAATTGTATAAGGGATAAAACGTACATCCTAGAGCAGTCAACTTCCAGCTCCAGTTTGACCTACCAAATGAATGAATTAAGGCACAAATTTTGGCAGGCATATAGTATACATCCCAAGCTTTAAAATGAGAAGTAGATAACCTCAATTGTATGAGTACACAAGGAGATATGACTTTTCAAAATTGAAGCACAAAATCTGAAGTTCTAGATTAGACCAAATGAACAGTAAAATTTAGATAATAAACTGTACGAATTGGCCAAGGATAGGTCTATTTTTATAGTTTTTCCTTGAAGAGCATTGAAAGAACTTCAAATAGAAATTTGAAGCACCTCCATAATATTTTTGTATAATTAGTTATGATTTTTCAAAATTGGATCTGTAATTTGAAAAAATGCACAATGAACAGTACCCAAGGAAGTAAAGGATAAGTTTTAATTTTTGGGCCAAAGTAAAACTTTTGCATATCCAATTCACTTCTGAATGTGTAGTCTGAGGGGTAAAAGTAATAATGTTTCATTCTACACTCAACCTATCCCTCTCAAGCATCAATCAAATGAACCCAACAATCTTATTGGTAGCTATTCAACAAGAAGCATTAAGCATAGAGTAAAATCAACAGAATCATATCATTAACCACAAATATAAAAGGGAAATGAGTACTTAATCCATATAAGAATTCAAAACAATCCTAGAATCAAAGTATTTAACCACATGCTTAGAAACTCCATAAGAAAATATATATATATATATACACACACACACACACACACACACATCAACACAAAATGGAATAAGAGTAGGGAAAACAAGATGGAGAGGAAAAACCAAGGAAGCCCAGCATAGCACAATACTGCTAAGAACCACCTAAAACTGAAGAATCACGATCAAGGTCTAGTTTGGGGCCTTAAAACCTAGAATTTTCTGACTTAGTGCTGTTGTGCGTTTTGCTGTCAATGACTGTGTTGTGACCCAACAATTTTGTGTCGCGGCCAAGTTTGCCTCTGTTTGAGTTAGGTGCAGCTATGACAAAGTGTGCCATAGCTTATTTTGCCTCTAGAAAATTCTGTTCTTCTAGCTCAAATAGGGAGTTCTACTCATGATTTGAAGTCTATTTGTTCTTCTTTGATCATCATAATGTGATTCTAAAGCAACCTTGATCCTCAAATACTTCCAAAAGCTTCCCAAGTGGCTTGACATAGTTACTTTTAATGCTACAATATACCTTACAAAAGTGACAAACTTTATAAGCTTAAAAATAATAAGGATAAAAGCCAAAAAGATGAACAAATACATCTAAGAGTGCATAAAACTTAAGGAAAAAGCACTAAAATGACATGAAATTTTAGTGACTAGCACTACAAATAAATTCATATGAGAAAGCTATTTGGCGTTGATATCATCAGATTATAGGGAGTTATAAGCTCTGGCAAGAAGGTCAGTCTAGCTTTATGCTCTGCTCCCTCTATTTGCCCTCCCTTGCGTCTAGTGTTAACCTCCCTCACACATCCATTAGGTAACCAAAGCCACAGGCAACAAGGATAGAGTCTAGTATGGTAGCAGAGCCTGGGTAAGCTAGACCTTGAATAGTTGACTTGCTATCATACTACTTTTGATTCTTAATATAAGAACTACTTGAAGGTTAGATTTGATTCTAAATATAAGACTATAATCCACTTTTCCTTCCAAATTTATAATTCATTCTCTAAGATTATTGATTATACATAATAAGTAAGAAGGTTTCCATCTAAGGTAGTCATACTTTGGGAAAATAAACTCATATTTATTACAAATAACTAATTTGTCAATTTTCTTAATTTACCCAAATTAACTAGATAACTCTTATATTTAGTATTGAACAAGCATCTCCTAGCCCTCCTCCCTAAACATGGTCACCACGTGCATGAATAGCTTTCTTATAGGAACTTATTTATACTTTTTTAGGGGATTTATTTGTGACTTTTCTTTTCCATTAATATATTTGTGACTTAATGTAAATTTTTTTATCCACAATGCTATTGTAATTTTTTTCTTTAGTTGTTCTGCTTATATCATTCCAGGGCAACTTTATTATTTTATAAGCTATTCATTGATTTCTCACCAATATATCGGCTCATATGAAAAGCCACTAAAATAATACACTACATACTTAACGAATGTAATCAATATGGATATGTTCTTTTAGTAGTTTTATTTCTTATATGTTTAAATAAATAAATTCTGCTACAAATTGATTAGTTTCTTTCTATCCGTATGACCTTTTTCTTTTTGGCATGAATCCGTATGACTCCAATTTAACCGAAGGTAGATATTTAGTAGGGTTAAAGTAATAAGTTACAAGGTAGTTAGAAGGTTGGAAAACAGGATGGAGAGCGTTTATATCTAATAAGATTGGGACTACGAAAGATACCCAATAATATGTAGAAAACATAGCCAATACGTGTATTGAAAAACACTTGTGTGAAAGTAAGCCCCAACTAGCCTAGAGTCGGATTCTGTTAGGGTTAATTTCAGGGCATCTCTATACTTTTCCAAGATTACGAGAGAATTTGATTTTGTTGGCAGATTTGATCTGCTTTGTATCTTCATTCATCATTGTCACCTAATTTTTTTATGACACAAAAGAGGGCTAAGCCCGAAAGAAAAGAGCTAGTCTAAGTGGAGATTGAATCCCAAGCTCTCCTTATCTGCGAGTCCCCAGAGATCAGCAGGGCACACGTCAAGGAAAGAAGAATTAGAAATCCTATGGGAATCACGTGGCACGAATTCAATCTGCACTTTCCAATTCGCTTTTAACATCTCTCTTATCTTCGATAGAATTAAACCATCCTTGTTGTTCAGATCCTGCTTTTAGTAATATTCTCAACTCAGTTTCTGGCATCAGACTCAAGGTGTCTAAGTCCGAAATCCCAACCCAACTGCAAACCTTTAAAAATTGCCCAGTTCCCAGCTGCTTCTGCACTACAGATACCAATTTGGTGCTCAAAACCAACAATCCAGCTACCTTTAGATCCAAAATTTACTTAAGTTTGTTCCAATAGAAGTGCTCTCCGTTCACAATTAGAGCTAATTGTTAAAAACCAAAAAAAAAAAAAAAAAAGGCGCTCCCCCCCCCCCATGTATACTTGGCTCAACCATCTTTGCTTGTGTTATATGCTACAATTGTGATGTTGAAATCCTATCCCGATATGGATGGGAAATCGCAGGACTCTGAAATAAGTGTAGCAATGATCAATGTATTAATGACAGTTTTCAGAATGTTCTTTCCAAGGAACAAATTAATAAACTTGGTGCCATTTCTTGTCTCTGACAAAAAATAAATTACTTGGACCGTTTCTTTGAGGCGGATATATTAAATAACTCAGGCAACTTCTGGCTTATAACCTAAATTATGTCAATGTATAACACTAAATTAGTCTTTAATTACTAAAAATTAAATGGAGTAACAAGAACTAAAACGCTACCCTAAAACAATCGTGGCTTCATTAACGGCCATAAAAAATATGGAAAAAATTTATATTACTTACATAAATCAACAATACAATATTGGTCAGCTCCACGTAGTTTCCACAAGGAGAAAGGAATAAATAGCAGAATTTGACTAGACCATGCTAAACTAACGAAACGTATAACCATCTCTCCTACCCAACAGCACATATACATGCATGGCATTCCGTTTTAGTTCAATGATTGCTGGAAACTGCCAAGAAGTAGCTATATCTCAATGCTACCTTAGAAGCAGAGTTAACATCAGAATTTAGTAGACCAGATCAGTCTCTCCAGCTTAAGGATCCGAATGATTGGAAATAATTGAATGAAAATTGGCTATCAATACTCAATTCGTAGCCGTCTCAGTTCTGATTTGAATGTCGGGCTATTGTTTAGAGTCCGACGGGCAAGACTCCTTATGTCCTCTCGTGAGCAGTCCCTTGAAATACGGACAAGCTCCCAAAGGGCACCTCCACTAATCATGTCTTTTGCATTCACTTCTGCAAATTATAAATCTTCAATGTGTTTGGATTTATGCCAAGACAAATTCTAAAATAGGATCAATCTATCAAAGATAAATGAAGAAACCAATTTAGGGATTAAGAATAAACAGGGTGTTGGATTAAGTTGTTCAATCACTTTTGATAGGCTCACTAATGATTATGCATTTATCGAAATCAGTCTGATATTTCATAAATTTAGAATACCTGTTTTACCTAATTGTGAGCACGAATCAACCTTGAAAGGTCTAAAGATAAGGTGAGATGCTTTATTACCATGCTGTGCCAAGTGGCAAATTGCAAGCTCAATGTGGCGCCTGATAGGTGCAGCTTCATTGTTAGCATTTTGTACTATCCACGGTAGCGCACCATCGTCTACTAAAAAGGATCTGCCACTCTTTATCCCTGTGAATCAATGGTGTAAAATATTTTGATGTTAGCTGCCTCATGATTTGACGCCTCTCCATCCTTCAATAGAAAATAAATTGCCTCAATATTTTGAGGGCATGAATACAATTTTATCACATAAATTTAGAGGAAAAGAAATGCCTCAAAGATGGAGTATTTCTCTCCCCATAAGTCACGCATTGCCAGTTCCTTTTCCATTGCTTTAAATGAGTTTGGAGCAATTGATCCAAACTCCAAAGAATAAAACGCACGCGCACACGCAGAGCTAAGAATTGTCCTTCAAAGGAGACTTGATGCAAAATGAATGTTGGGAGAACGAGATGAGATTATCAATCCCTTGATCTTAGGGTCAGCTATCACAACAGATATCTCCTAATGAATTAGAATAATCAGTGTATTTTAACAATACCCCGCTGTCAATCTATGCCAATAGGAAGAAAAACAAACCTTGACTAGAAGCTCGGGACTCGCATTTTGCAAAGTTCGCAATTCCTCGAGCAACTTGGGAAAGAACATCAGGATGTCCACACCTTACGATTCCTAGTAAAGCCTTTATACCACCCTGAGATCTCAGCTTCATTAATAACTTCTCTGGATGGATAACATTAAAATGATATGGTAAATATTCTCAACATCGAACTCTCAATTGAACTCCTGAATAGAAGTAATAATGTAAAGTATACACATGGCTTCCAATGTAACTTAGATCTAAAGACATTATCTGTGAAGTTTAAAGGGAAATTTGTCCAAACTACTATAAGGCTAGCAATTTTATATAACAATGAATGTTGGCTACTACAGGCACTAGATAGTAGTGTTGAGAAAATAGTCTTCAGCCCAATGGAAACATGTAGAAGAACAAAAAGAACACTCAAAAAACTATCGAATGGGATCTCAGTATATTCCATTAGTTAGTTGTTAGGAGGCTAATGGTGAGGCTTCTCGTTGTAGTTCATGATGACGTATTTTAATAATTAGTATCTTATTGTACATGTATTCTTTCTAATCTCATTCTATAGGTATTTATACGTTTCAGGGATTTGGCAACTCACATGACACAAAAACAAGTAAATAAACTAGTAAGCTGAAAGCTCATCTAAGAGTCAGGTAAGGCCTCGACCAATCTCAGCTCCTCACTCTCCAGGACACAGACCTTCTGTGTAACCAAGAGAAGAGAAAACATGTAAACATACCATTTCCACATAGATTAGCAATAGCCCCAGCTACCATTCGGAGAGTTTGTGGATCTTCAGCATCAGATGCAGTCATTGATAAGAGAGTAATTCCACCTTCAGCCATAATGAGTTCTTGATTGGCTTCTGCATCACCGCAAAAGAAGCAAGATAACATACCAACATTAGTCAAAAGCAGACAACCACAAAAAGTAGTAAAATTACCGATCAAAGGAGCAAGATCTTGTAATCTCAATATTTGGAAATTTAAAGAACCAGTAATCGACAATCACCATTCATCGCAAGATTGGCTATTGCGCCTGCTGCTACCCTGCGAACAGTTTCATCCTCATATCTCCTAAGAAGCATAAGTAAGGATGTAAGACCCCCTGCATCTACAATTCTTTTCTGATTTGCCTCTGCATATCACATTGGGTGATTTCACCAGATAAAGTGACATGAGAAATCAATAACTACTGCGAAAGTTGATAATTTTAACTGTTTAAAAGGCCAAGTACGATGGGCTTAAAACTTGGGGAAGCAAATAGGTGGAATGTCTAGAACCATACCTCATCATAGATACAGTACGCTTGAGCCCAGCCCAATTATAAAAAAGAATACACTGGTATGTTACATAAAGTGATATTTAATCCTTAAAACTCTAACATCCATTTTTAAGCCAAAACAAAACCAAATAATGCAGTCGAAATTTATGATCAGTTTTGGTTGGAATTCAGTAAAAGAAATCACAACTACAAAAATTTCTTATATGACTACTCACTTTCAAAATGCTAATTAAAGCAGCCGCATAGGCTAAATTTCAAGAGCTCAGGTTTTCAGGGCATGGGAATGACAAAATGCACATCTTACATTCACTGACATGCTCAAAATCATTACGTGTTATTTCCCTTTTATTTCCTTATATTTGTAATAGACTGTTGCCACTTTATGGGTTTCAACTGGCAGAAATGTTGCCACCAAAACCAAATATAAAGTTATGTTTCTTATCTGTAGAATAATAAGGAGTATGCATCATTCAGAACCTCCTCCTATTTTTCCATAGATAACCTGAAGATACGCTAACATTCCAGAGTTTTTAATTGAACTTGGCTCTGAGACACAAATGTTTAAAGGATTACTTAATAATAGACATTTCTGTAAAGATATTGAAATTAATGTAAATATTATGTCATTCGTATAGGATTGGATATTATTCCGTTAGGAGATTATTCTATCATTACGAGCCATTAATACCAAGGCTCCTCACTCCTGTGTATATATAAATATATATGTATGCTCCTCACTCCTGTGTATATATAAATATATATGTATATGCCCCTCACCTATTCATAGAAAATAAAAGTAATTCATTTCATATTTCCTGTGAAGTAATATGCTATCAAAGCACATAAATATGGCATCAGATAATAAATATGTCAACAACATCTTGAGTATTTAGCTATCGAACAGAGAAAATTGTAAATAAGAGGATAGAACATAAGCAAAACATTGGTCAGATATCTTTAAATAGTTGTTTTGACTGAAAAGTTACCAAAACAAACCAGATCAATATCCGTGACTATGTCACCCGTTGCAGGTGTTAGCATGACATGAACCCAAAAAAAAAAAAAAAAAAGAGTTTTATAAATCAGTTAACTACTGTCTGAAATCCACCAGTGAAAGAACATACCAGTATCCTTAAACAGGAAAGATGTTACATAAAGTTTTGCCAATCAAGTATCACTAAACAGGAAAGCAGATGTTAAACAAAGCTTCACGAATAGGGTAGCAATTACCTTCTGCTGCCAGGTTGGCAACCACTTTCACTGCATGAACCCGTACATTGGCATCATCTGACTCCAGTAATGTCAATATCTTTTGCAATCCAACTGTCAAATTGTTTTGAGTCATATACACATGAATAGTGAAGAGTTTCAATTATTACTCAAATTATTACTTATACCTTGTTCAAAAAGAGTAGCAACAGATGTCTTCTGACCATTCCCATTGTCTCTGAGTTGAGAATTCCTAGCTTGAGACATGGCAGAATCCATGGCAGAAAATGCATTTCCAGAACCACCACTTTCCAAACATCTTCTCATCTACAAACAAAACATTGAATCAGATTTTAACAAAGGTGTACTAAAAAAAAGTAGCGTAGCAATAGGGCATGGAAAGAGGATAGTTCTGTTTCCCCCTTTAAACAAACAATTTTGCCAGAAAGAGGAGGAATGTCTTATCGGAGGACAAGGCACCTAAAACCGAAAACTGCTAGGAGCACAAAAACATTAGGTGGAATAGTGAAGAAGACAACGTTGTTTTTCATTCATTCCAATTGGGATATATATACACAACAGTGTACAGCCTGGACAATTTAATGGGGCCAATAAATCAGGGCTATACAAGCAAATGCTACAATTTGATTTAAAGAGAAAGGAAAACCTGATCAGCTTCATAGTTCAACTGTAATAACTGACTTCGTAGTATTATTATCTCTTCTTCAAGTTTCTTTTTCTGATGATCCTCCTCTTCCAGCATTCTGCGAAGATTTAGAATCTCCACATTGCCTCCAACCTACCGCATACAAGATGTTCCCACTATACCATAAATTCAAGGTTGGAAATACAGCAGCCAGAGATGTTTGTCATTCAAATTTACCTCCGTCTGTGAATGTTTCCCCAGCTGACTTTTTAGAATATCTGCCTCTTCTTCAGCTGCCTTTCTACGATTAGTTTCATTTTCAAGCATCCTTTTGACCTCAGCAACTTCATCTACAGAAGATGGCCCAGGCCCCTATTCCATAGAAACTAATTAAAGATAAAAAGAATAAAAACTAGGAAACAGACAAGTTAAAACTAATCTTAGTTCAACAAGACAATAAGCAGAAGTTGGGGGAGAAAAGAAAATAAGCAAAACAAGTACTTGAACACCTCCACTAGAGAAGATTTAATTGCTATCCATGCGATGGTTAGTCAAAGTGAGATGGAAAATTGTGGGAACATTTGATTGTTGTGCTAAATATTTAGCATTCATTAGGCTGCTTTGGTAACACTCTTTAATTTCCAATTAGTCTTTATTAGGTTACATTAGTTTTTGTTTTTGTTGTTTTCCTACTTCTACGAGCATGTATGACTCTTTCAAGTATATTATGAAAATGTAGTCTTCCCTTAAAATACCACATGGTATTACAGCAAATTCAAGGAAAAAAAGGTGGGTTTTTTTTTTTTTTTTGGGGGGGGGGGGGTGTGAATTTGATTACGGCAAAGTCAGTTGTACCAATGACATCGTTAGATCTCACCAACACCAAGAAAGGAAGAGCACGCTTCAATCAGCACAACCCAGGGAGGCAATGGTGAATGGCGACGCATATAAGCCCCACATGCCACAAGTGATGTTCTATCAAAACACGAGGCACATTCCCAATGGCAATCAACTCTTTCAATAATGAATCCATTGTTCTGGCCTAATCCCTCAAGTCTCTAGGCATAGGTACCTCAGTCTTTTTGATGGGAATAGATAATTCTTAGCTATTACTAAGTCTGAAGTTGTAGTAATTATAGGTAAGCTCTCAAACTTGGTCGCTACATTATTGGCAAAGAAAGTGAACTTTCTTCAAGCCTTGACAACCTTGAAGTACAGAACAGTACAAATTGTTGACTTTGGGGCATTAATCATATGATCAATTGCCATCAATTATTTTTAACATACTCCATGCGCTAGGAACTTCAAAGTTAAAATTGCAGAGTCCGATTGCTAGAAAGTTAAGTATTTAGATTTTAGAGTCTACCACTAGAGAAAAAGTTAAAGTGAGGAATTGTATGTTTAACCTATTTACCTACCAATATTCAAGCTGCAAATTTATTGACAAAAGGATTGCTCAGACTCGCCATTGAGAGCTGCATAACTTGGACATGATTAGCATTTATGATCTGACTTGACGGGAAGCATGGGAATATTTGGTTTTTATTGTAAATAACCAAATCAACCAGTTCAACTGGAAAACCAGTAAAATGGTTTTGATTCGAGTGCCGACCTAGCTAGAAATTAAACCAGTATCAACCCGGCCAAACCGGGGGGGAAGCGATGTGAACCGGTGATAAACCAGTTTGGATGATTATGTTGCTATTAGTCCTATTTTTCCAAATTTAACTCCTAATATCTCAATTACTATAGATTTGAATGAATTTTAGTGATAATTTTAGTATCAATAATGTTGGAGGAAGTTTAGGCTTGCTATCAATTTCATGGGCCTATTGTCTTGTGACCCAGTTTTCCTCTTGTGTGTGAGATTGGGATCCCTAAAATCATGAGATTTATTTTCTCTTGTAATCTACCTTTATTATTTCCAAGATTCTAGGAACTACCTAAGGGATAGAATCAAATCTGATTTTATCCTCTCTTCTCCCTGTATATGTAACACTCTATTCTCCATAATAATATATGAGCCGTTACCACAAAAAATTACATGGTATTAGAGCCCAGGTCATCCGATCAATGACGTTTAAGTTAGCTCTAATGAATCAGCCGTGAGCCTTCCATACTGAGGATGAAGGCGCACGCTCATCTTCAAGCAAGGAGGGCTCAAACAAGACTAGTTCACGGTCACACAGAGGAGACGACTGTGTACACAACTCGTTGCACCTTGGGATGTCTAATGCGACATCTGATTCTCTTCCCCCAGTGTTGATCACACATTGACTCAACAGGAATAGCTACCTCCAAGGTCTAGAAGTGTTCTGATGTTCATCTGAGGGAAAAACAAAGAAAGGTACGTGACCGAAGATCCACCTTCCCATGCTGATCAGGCTCATTTTGCAACTTGGAGTGCCGAAAACAACATGGTAATGACATGGTTGGTGAATTTGATGACGGCCAAAATCAGTGAAAGCTATCTGCTTGCACTTATAGCGAAGGAAATTAGGGATTCAGCAAAGATGACCTGTGCTGTTAAAGAGAATACAGTTGCTACCATCCAAGTAAAACATACCCTACATCGATTAGTTCAAGATGACAAGACTGTCACTCAATATTTCACTGTACTAATCAAGCTTTGGCAGCAAATTGACCTTTATGAGGTCCATGAGCAGTCCTGTAACAAAGACAATATATTATAAGCAACTCATTGATGAAGAAAGGTGCTATGATTTTTTGCTTGGTTTGAATAATGGATTTGAGGAGTTACGAGGAAGAATCATGAGCATGAAGCCCTTCCCATCTTTGGAAGAGGCATTCAACTTGATCCGTTGTGAAGAAAGTCGAAAGATGCTGACTCAAACAGGTTCACAGCCTCTTAATGAGATGTCTGTCAAAGGGAATCAGGGAGATGCAAAGGGAAAAAAAACGGAAAGATGGTGGGACTATTGCAACAAAGGTGGTCACACTAAGGAGGTCTGTTGGAAGCTCCATGGCAAGCCCACAACCATAAGCAGAAAAAGAAAGGGTTGTTAGCTAGCGCAGGAAAATCCAAGGGGGGATCATTAAGCACTTAAGAGCTTCAATTTTTGAGAAAAATCTTAGAAAAGCATGCAACTGCCTTGGCTAAATTGAGTGAGAAAACTACCCCTTCAGTCACTCTAGCACAAGCAGGTATAGCTTTACTAAAGCTCTCAGTGGTATGGTGAAAACCAAAAACATTGGGTCGTTGATTCTAGAGCAACAGACCATATCTTAGGTTTTAAAGAACTATTTTCTGAATTTTCTGAATTTTTTGAGCACGATACTGTTGAAGTTGCCAATTGATAGTATGCTACAGTAATGGGATCTAGAACTATTATTATATCTGATGAGATTGTCTTAAGAGATGTTTTATATGTCCCTGAAATTAAGTGCAATCTGCTGCCTATAAGAAAAGTTGCTTTTCAGATCAACTGCCTAGTTATCTTTGACAGACATTACTGTCATTTTCAAGACTTAACCTTGAGGAAGATGATTGGTAACACAAAAGTGTGGAATAGGCTCTACTACCTTTGTGGATCACCAACAAATAAGGCCCAAGTTCAAGCTGCTCTTCCTACTTTCAGGAATAAAGATATTATATTATAGCACTCTAGGTTAGGCCACCCTAATCTTCGCTATATGCAATTTTTGTTTCCAAGCATTGATAATAAAACAATCTCTAATTTTCATTGTGAAACTTGTCAATTTGCATCAATTTGCAAAACAAGTTTAGAATACCCATTCTTCTGATCCTTATAAACCCACTCAACCGTTTACCCTCATACATAGTGATGTTTAGGGTCCATCAAAGTTTTAAAAAAATTTCTAAAGCCAAATGGTTTGTAACATTTATTGATGATCATGGTTAACATGGGTTTATCTCATGAGGCAAAAATCTAGGTTTTTTGGGATTTTTCAAAAATTTCATAAACTGATACAAAATCAATTTCAAAGTTCAATAAAGATTCTTCAATGTGACAATGGAAAGGAATATTTAAATACATCATTCCAAACATACTTGGAAAACAATGGCATTCATCACTAAACTTCTTGTGTTCAAACACCACAGCAAAATGGTGTATCCGAAAGAAAAAATAGGTACCTCCTTGAGGCAACAAGAGCAATTACGTTTCCAAATAATGTGTCAAATAGATTTTGGGGGGACGCTGTTTTAACTTCTGCATATCTCATAAACTGAATGCCATCAGAAGTTTTAAAATTCCTTACTCCTCTTCAGAAACTGCATATCTCATAAACTGAATGTCATCAAAAGTTTTAAAACTCCTTACTCCTCTCCAGAAACTCCAGGAAACTCATCCAGATTCACCTCTCATTACTACAATTCTCAAAAAATCTTTGGGTTCACAGCTTAGGTTTTAAATGATAGCGGTGGAAAATTGGAACAAAAGGCTATTAAAATCATTTTTCTAGGATATCCCGCACATCAGAAAGGATATAAGTGTTTTTGCCTTGACAATAACAAAGTATATGTCACTATGAATGTGAAACTTATTGAACAACAACCTTTTTTTAACAAATCAACCATTCAGGGGGAGAGAGGTGCGAGTGAATAGCTTATTTGTGACACCAAGAATGATCATCAAAATAACTTTTCTTGACAACAAGCTTATGAACCCCTCACATCACCCAATTATTCACCCAATTCCGCTGCTATTCCACCCTTGCCCTCTGTTCCTCACACATCAAATGTCCCTCCTCAAGATCCCACAGAAAGCACTATATAAAATAGACCTAGAAACTCACCAAATTCCCTGTCCAGCCCCTCCTTCAAATCTGACTTTCAGGATACCAATCCCTTTCCACACCTGACCCATCCAAGACTAGGGAGGAAGAGTCTAGGGTGTCATCTAAACAACAGCATAATGGTGAAAAGCCTACTCAAACACCAATGCAAAGCCATGAATCTGCACCTGAGGCAAGTCTTGAAGACCTACATTGGCCTATTTGCTTGAGGCACGGAAAGAGGAGTTGCACTCAGCACCCAGTTGCTAGGTATGTCTCCTATCAAAAACTATCTTCCAATATGGAAAAAGAATCTCTTCCGAAGAATTTGAAAGACGCTATTTCACATCCTAAATGGAAAAAAACCATAGAAGAAGAACTACGAGCCCTACACAAAAATAAAACCTGGAAAATTGTTGATTTACCTAAAGGCAATTCACTCAAACCTATGGTGTTGATTACCAAGAGACATTTGCCCCAATAGCAGAGCTCAACACTATAAAGGTCCTACTTTCTCTTGCTACAAATTTAGATTGGCCTCTGCACCAGTTAGATGTCAAAAATGCTTTTTTAAATGGTGACCTTGAAGAGGAAGTGTACGTGGAAATTCCTTTGGGACTGAGAACATTAGAAAACTCTCACAAAGAATGTAGGCTCTACAAATCCTTATATGGTGTAAAGCAATCTCCTAGCGCTTTGTTTGAGCGTTTCACTAGAGCTATTAAGAAATGGGGTTATAGAAAATGCCAAGCTAACCATACTCTATTTGTTAAGAGCTATGGTGATAAGATAACTAGTCTCATTGTACATGTTGATGATATAGTACTAACAAGAAATGATTCAGATAAGATTGCTCGGCTGAAAAGGAGGTTGGCTGCTAAATTTGAGATCAAGGATCTCAGACCTCTAAGGTAAATCCTAAGGATGGAAGTAGCTTGCACACACCAAGGTATCAGTGTGTCACAAAGAAAGTACACCATAGACCTTCTAAAAGAGACAAGAATGTCGGGGGGCCAAACCAACAAACACTCCAATGGAGCTTAATCAGAAACTGACCATAAGACTTGATGGTATAGCAGTAAACAGAGAAAGGTATCAAAAACTAGAAGGGAAATTGAGTTACTTGTCTCATACTAGACTAGACTTGATATATGCTATCCAATCAGTGTGGTTAGCCAATTTTTGAGCAATCCTCAAAAGGAACACATGACTGCTGTTTTTAGAATTCTCAAATATTTAAAAAGGACACCAGGACAAGGGTTGTACTTTGCAAAGAAAAGTACTAGAGGTATTGAGATGTTTAATGATGCTGACTTGGGAGGATCTAAGACAGACCAAAGATCTACCACAGGGTATTGCTCTTATTTATGGGCAATCTAGTGACTTGGAGAAGCAAAAAACAACCAATGGTGCCCCGAAGTTCAGCTGAATCTGAATATAGGGCATTGGCAATTGGAATCTGTGAAGGAATGTGGCTAGTTAGGTTGTTAAAGGAGCTCAGAATCTATGATAATGAACCAATTAAAGTATGGTGTGACAACATGTCAGCCATTAAGATAGCAAATAATCCTATCCATCATGACCACACAAAACATGTGGAGATTGATCGCCACTTTATCAAAGAGAAACTAGAATCAAAGGTGATTGATTTATCCTCTATTCCTTCAGGAAATATAGACAGCTGACATGATGACTAAATCCCTCTCTCAAGAGAAATTTGAAGGCATTGTAGACAAGCTAGGAATGATCTTGAGGGGGAGTGTTAGAGGAAGTGTGGGCTTGCCATCAATTTCATGGGCCTATTGTCTTGTGACCTAGTTTTCCTCGTGTGTGAGATTAGGATCCCTAAGATCATGGGATGTATTTTCTCTTGTAATTTGCCCTTATTATTTCCAAGATTCTAGGAACTACCTAAGTGATAGAATCATATCTGATTTTATCAATAATAATATATGAGCTGTTACCTCATAAAAGTTACAAATGATTATTTAGTTAGAGGAATCATAAAAATCAAAGTTCTCAATATTGTTGTAACTCGTCATTGTTACAATCAATCTATTATTGTATTTCCTTGTATTTGGTTATTAGTAATTATTAATGTTGTTATATTTTGTTATTTTCAATTCAATTATACTATTTTAATATGACCAGTTTGATCCCGAGTTGACCCTAGTATGACCTATTGACCCTTGAACCACTACCTCAACTGGTTTAGTGTCCAATCCGGTTTTTTGTTCCCCGATAAATATTTAGCATTCATTAAGTTGGCTTTATTGGCATTCATTAATTTTCAATTAGTCTTTATTAGCCTTTATTATTCTTAATATGCTTTTTTTCCTTTCTGTATGCATAAGCATGTATCATTCTCCTAAAGATGACAAGAAAGGGAAATTAGTTATTTGATCCTTCAACATCCAACTCAATTGTGACTCAGTCCCTTAAATTTAACTCATCACGACTTAGTCCCTGAAATTTGGTCCCTTTAACAATTTAGTCCCTACAATTAGTTAATTAAATTGTAGGTCACAAACAGTGTTAAGCTTGAAAATTACATCTTTTACCGTTACACCCCATGTCTTTCTCTTCCTCCCTTTCACGTAGACTCCCTTTATCTCCGACAACAAGAACCACACTCTAGTTTCCTAGATTCTTCATTACCATTTTGTTCCTTCTCCTTCTACTATATCTTCTATTTATTCTCTTCATAGCCCCATGCTTCCAAATATGACATTACTCTACATTTTCTTTTCTAAAACTGTATCAGCATTAATTAATTATTGAATGTGTTTTGGAGTGTGGAGATGCATTGTGGATTCTTGAGCAGCACGTGGAACTCTCCTTTGTGATTTCATGTGTACATCTTGCAACCTCTCCTAATGATGCCGTTCTTGCATACAGAAATAAAGCAAGGTGATAGCGTTGCATGTACAGGGAAAAGTCCTGACAGTAGGTAGGTTAGTAGCTAATGCCTAGTGGTTAAGAATGGGAAAGGGAGGTCCTATATAAGTAGAAGTAGACTCCCTTTATATTGGTGATGATTGATGAATACAATTGTTTTTCAAGTCTTCCGTCCATCAAAGTGGTGTTAGAGCTTATCTCTGGCTTGATGGTGCCAGATACTTGATTACACAAATGAAACAGCAGCCTTGATATTACTACAGCTGCCACATTGGGGTGATCATATTAGAAATGTAAAATTTCTTTTTATTTTCAAATCAAAGCCTCAAATAAAAGGGCTTCGTGAATTGCCAAGACAACTTTTTCAGAGAATGATTATTCCGTTTAGTAATTATGTTGCCTTGCGTGTTATGTAAATACCTTAAATCTATAACTATTGTATATGCTCTATTTCTTTTTTGAAATCCATATATGATAATTATAACTGTAAATACAAACATGAAACAGGCGATATTTTACCAGGTGCAATAAATCCACTCAAAACAAGAGCAAAAACCAAATATCAGATCAAAGGCACAAAACCAAGTTTTTTTAAATCAAAAGGGGGAAAAAAAATACTGATGGGCAGAACATAAATGGTAAAAATAAAAAATAAAATGCATCACGGAACGCAAGCAGTAAAATAGCAATCACAAAAGAAATCCAAACTCGTGCAGTAAATAAGAATTTTGGAAGACTAAACTGTTCATGGAAACAGCAAAAGTTAATAATCTGAAATAATCAATACTTATTTTTTACAAGAAAAATAACAACCAAAATTTATGAAAAGAATTCACTTCAAATACTCCAAAATAAACAATAAAATCTCAAATAAGATACCTGGCCGTGTCCATCCACAAAACCATTGCAGTCAGGTCTTTCTTGACTCAATACCAACTTATGCTCCAACTGCTTGACTGAATCCATGTACTCCAACTGGCATTTCAACCTCTCTTTCTACAATGCGTGATACAACTTACAATGAACGCATAAAGAGAGAAGAGGGTTAAAAGAACTCAAGAACCATCAAGTTCAAAGTCTAAGCTGCCGTAGGTTATCAAAAAATATGCAGCAAAGGGCAGCATATGTCAGCTTCAAAATTACAATGTAGAATTAGCTCATATTGCTAAATTATCAATTATCCAAGGATAATTTTTTACAGTTTATTGGGTTAAGAGATATTAAAAGTAGGAAAGTCTTGGAGCTAAAGGCATTATTACCCTACTAAGTATTAAGATTTTATATTAAGTATTGTAGGTTTTGCATAATATATATATGTATATGTGTCTATATCTGAGAACTTATAGTATTAGTAAAATAAGAGATACAGCAATGGTCAAGCATCACCTACGATGGAAACTCACATCTATAGAACATGATTAATAAATTTAATACGGTAGTGCGCTCAAGATATAGACTATGATCACTTATAGATACAAACCTCCAATGCATCTGTGAAATTCCTCTCAACTTCAGCTATACGACTTTGAGCCTCCAAAGTTATTTTTTCAACTTCAGCCTCAAAAGCTTTCTGCTGCCTTTCATTTTCTGCAATCAACTTATCTACTTGTACCTCAAACCTCCGGGCCAAGCTTTTATAATCAAATTCCTCCTTTATTTTCAACATATTCTCAACTTTCATTGCCTACGTGACACAAATGACACTTAACCAATCAATCATGCAGCCATGTAAATCATCAATAACATCTTATGTTTGATATTACAAGAGATGTGTAATCGAGAAAAGGACAGTAAGTCTATAAAATACAGATCATCTGTTAACCATAAAATTTTACTGATCCATGGTCAAAAATACTGGCAACTAGCACAACTCATTTAACAGCCATTTTAAGGTTGACAAACGGCACGAGGAGGAAAACCATACATCTTCCAGATTTCTTAGGCAATGAGACTCTTTATCCAACAATAAGATCACCAAATATTTTAGATATAGTTCAAATATAGAAAAATTAATATTAACAATTAAATAGTTCATAAAACTGGGGGAAAATATATACAACAGGTAATGTAGGACACGAGAGGGGAAGGGGGAGGAAGAAGAAGAAAGGGAGAGAGTAGAGATAGGAGGAAAGAAGTGAGAACTAGAGAGTAAAGGGGGAGAGTGATTGCAAAATAATGAACATTACTCCAATGGCAAAAAGTCTACCAATCTAAGGCTATTTGTAGAGCTCTATTCCTAGTTAATCTAGGCTACTGTAATCCTAAAAGACATGATAAACTTTATTTAGATTTAAAAGATACTAAATCTTTGATCAGATAATCCCAAATAAAATAAGATAGGATAACAGGATAAATCATATAAACCTAAATATACGAAATTTATAAGATAGGGAAAATTAATCTTTTGGTCCCTGTATTTTGACTTTGTTATAACTGAGTCCCTAAATTTTGACTCGATGCAACTTAGTCCCTATAGTTTTGACTTGGTTCTTGGACTTTAACCTACAGCACCCCAGTCCCTACAGTATTAAATACTTAAAACCTTAGTCCCTAGGCTTCAAAAAATCTAAAATTTGGGGACCAATACTTTAAATAATTAAAGCTATAGGAACTGAGCTGCACCAAGTCAAAATTCAAGCCTAAGTTTCAACGGGGTCAAAGCTACACAGACTGACTTGCATCTAAATAAAATTTGAAAACCCAAAAATTACTTTTCCCAAAAAAGACAAGTTAAATCCTGATTTAAATAAAAATGACCTACATCAGATAAAGTCAACGAATCCTAATAGAATTTAAAATATCCTCAAGTATACTCCCCCTGATTATATTCGCAAATTTCACATTACTATTTAGTGCATATTGTATTTTATATGCTAAAATATACACATATAAGTCTAGTTATCCATGAATATGAAAACTGACCCTTTGGCCAAACAGTATAGTACTTGCAGTCTCTCCACGATGACGTGGAGACGGTCCAATAGTTACAATCAAAGAAGTCCTAGCAGTACCTGCAAATTGTTTAAGAACTCATTAGGATAACATGACACGGCTAAAATCACAATGGGTATCAACAGCTAGGAAAAATGTATAAGAAGTTCCCCATCTGTATGTCAGACAGACAAGTCCTCACTAAAAGACAAAATGGGTATATAGGTCATTTCCTCAAATCATGCACCTAATGCCAAAAGATGATCTAAAGACCATTTCATCAATTCCATTTTTAGCAATGAAATGACTGGAATATCCCACCATGTTTTTGTCCTTTAGGAACAACTAAGGGCCTTTTACTTCAAAAACATGAAGACTGAGGCTGCCAATAGACACATGACGTGTACAAATTTAGTTATACATTGAAAAATAGATGTGTATGCACGCGAGATGAAAGAAGACACTGTATTAAGTATTCAAAAGATCTAATAAGCACTAAGCAAGCAGTCTATAGAGGTGGGTTGTAAACCAAGACTTTTACGACACAATGAGGGGAGGAAAACTTTCAGATGCATATCATGTTAATTTTTCAAACTTGTATCCCCCTCCTGCAACAACTGAAAACCTTAGACAAAGAGAAAGCACTTCAGGACAGAACAAAATAACAACAGCATTTAAGAAGCAGTGAATAAAAGCTGCCCATTCTCTTTACATGTTAAAATAGCAACAGCTAACAATAAAGAAATGTAAAACACATATTCTACAGCAAGCCAAACAGGGGCTTGAGAAACCAAAACTGGTGTCTTAAACCATAAATCAAATTTAATAGCAAATATATTTTTATTTAGGTTAAGTTCGAATGTTCAATAGCATGAGATCGGACACAACATATTATGGCATCTTACCACCAAAAGAATCTCTAAGCAATCTGGTGAGTTTGGAATCACGAATTGGAACATGAGCACTGTTCTCTGCCAGAGCATTAATGCATTTTCCCAATGCGCTAAGTGAGAGATTTATAGATTTAGCTTCCTCTAGCATTTGTCCTTCACTCCCTGGTCAGGAGAAAAGAGATGGAAAATTTTAGCACATATTGACATACAAATACAAGCTATTAGACCATCAACATATCAATACGAAATATAAAACCTCCAGCAAGATGCACTTTTCACACATGAATAGCTTTGACTCATTTTTAGGACTCCATATAATGTACAAAGAAATGAGTTTTGTTGCAGTTAAGGCAATGACCAACACCAAGTAGATGCATGAAAGTCAAAATCCCAGTGGGAATGATGCTAGGCCATGTTATAGGGGTAAAAATGTAATATTTCAAGATATTTATCATCCAACAAATAAATAAGGGCATCTTTATTGATGAAACATCAAGTAATCTTTATTGCATCTCTTCTCTAGAAAATGAACGTGTGAAAAACAACAAAGCAGATCTATTGACGAAACCAAAACTTGTTCACACAGATGTCAGCATGCCTCATGCATGCAAAAGATACATAAGAAATGCATCTAGAGATGTCCCTAAGATGAAATTCATCATTTCATATCATATAGAAAATTTTTAGATAGAACAATATCTCAAGTTAAGCATATACCTGACTTGTGGATACGCTCTGAACCTGCTAAATCTACCACAACCAGCTTGCTCTTTCGAACAAGTGGTTTAGGAGGTTTGGTCAAATGAGAAGAGTCATTATTTTCATTAGAAGAAATATCTCCACCTTCTAAGACAGACCTCTTAACATGTACCTGTAAGAGAAAGGGTTACTTCATTATTGCATACTGTTTAATAAAAGTTACAAAATCGGTAGATTTCCAAATTTGGTTTATTGATTCAAGGCATATATAAAAATAAATTAACTCATTAGAAATAAGCTTCTTTATTCACCATCAGAATAGCATGGCTACGAGAAGATTCAGTATTCAACTTTGTGTTAGCAGCAAAACGGTGAGCTTCCCCCACTCTTAGCAACTCCAAAAAACTCTGCTGGTCTCTGATTTCTACAAGTGTAGCCCCAGGCAAAGATACATCACCAGTTCTTGGATCTTCCACAATGGGAATGTTATCATTCGCAGGATTAAGCAAGTCCTGGAGAGACTCCATGTAAAGCTACACATTTTTCAAGGATCAAAAACGGATTAAACATTTTTAATAAATTTAAAATAGCTTATGAATACAATATAATAAAAGAACAGCATGAAAAAGCCAAATAGACATCCAATTTTCCAATTATTAAAATGGAATCACTGAGTTTACAACTTGAAAACAAGAGATCTAAAAGTTGATGCACGTGAAGCAAAATCCAGTAATGTACTTAAAAGTATAGAACCTGCAAGTATGAGACGGTGACTGAATCAGTTTCTGGAGATAGATCTGCTAAAATATCCTCCATGGAACGAACCATGATGCCACGACTGGAAGCATCGTCTTCCCCCAATTGTCCAACAGTAAAAGTTTTCCCAGTGCCTGTTTGGCCATAAGCCATTACCGTCCCATTATATCCATCAAGAACACTCTAAACACCAGATTGCCAAAACAAGTCAAGTCAATAATACAACAGAAAAAACATGGAAGCCCATATATTGAAACATTGTGCTAAAATTAAACATGATTGAAACATTAAGCCAACATTCAAGATTATTGAAACATATTAAGATGATGCTCAACCAATCATAAAAGGCATCAAGTACAACAAAACTAGATAGCTCACCAAAACAAACAAACAAACAAAAACTCGATTAAAAAAAATTGCAACTTAACAAACCTCCACCACTGGCTTAGCAACAACTTCATAGACACGCTTCTGTGATGCAAATTCAGTAAATACTTCATCAAATTCATATGTGTCTGAATCCCAATTGTTTTTCCGAAGTTTCAGCCTTTTAAACTGAAAGTAAATTAAAAAAACAAAAAAAAAAAAAAAAGGTTTAATCTGAAGGAAGGCTAAAGAATTTAACAAACCAAGATGTGTAATTATAAGTAAAAATACACTGCCGCGTCTACAGAAAGGTAATCAAACGGACTCACCTCAGGTTGCAATTCAACACAGTCAGCAAAATCAGCATCCGCCACCATTTCTTCAGCATTTCGAGGTCTCAATCTTACAGCCACTCGAACTCTCCCAGGTACTATCAAACCATGATGAGGAAAATAGCACAACAACAAAGTCATACCAAGACCCAATTATAAGCAAAGGAATGACAAGAGCAATTTAAATAGCTATTTTCATCTTAAGCATCAATTTTCAAATTCCATGGCCAAGTATAGATCATTCTGGGTTCTAAATACATAACAAGGATATTGCAAAACAAACCCTGAAACATCTTCAGCTTCTAGACATATTGGCCATTAAATGCCTTTATTTACTCATAACAAACTGCTCTATAGCCCTTTATCATCACCAGTAACAAAAATTCATATGCCAGAAATTCACCAGACAAACTTGTGCTAGAAGGCAATTTACCTGCCAAACCCACATCATCCATTTCACAGCAAGTTTAAAATTTAAATAATGCCAAACTCATCATACACTAAATCAGCATCTAATGAAGAAATTTCAATTTTAATAGCATATGCTGATAACATTGTTGTCACTGGAAACTGTCTTGATGGGATTACTAAATTGAAGAAGTCAGCTACCACTAGGTTAGAAGTGAAGGACCTAGGATAGTTATGCTACCTCTTAGAAATGGAGGTGGCAAGGACATATTAGAGTATTGTCTCACAAAGAATGTATACCTTAGACCCTCTCCACGAACGAAATGAAAAAATAAGGATATAAACTATTGAAGCCAAAAAACTAAGAAGGCCCACATAGTTCATGATTGCTAGTATTCTAGATCTCTCATTTCCATTGATACGTGTCACTATGTAATGGTCACTAATCCCTATAGATAGAATCAATACTGTAACCTCTTAATATGAAGAAATGATTCATGTGCACTGTGATTCTGTCTTTTAGCTTTATCAATTCTGCCTCAATATAAACCAACTAAAACTCACATGGCCTCCACCTACAAGTCATAAGTACGGACTTAAGCAGGAGAATGCCCTATTAGATATTGGACAAATCAGAGATTGGGAGCCAAGCTAACTTATCTTTCTCATACACATCATGAAGTCAGCTTTATGTAAGTGTGGCTAGTCAGTTAGTGAACAAGCCAACTGGAGAGAATTTAAAAATAATCTATAGGGTCCTAAAGTATCTAAATCTTACAGCCAGTACCAAGTTCTTTGAAAAAGAAGGAAGATGTAGGTGCTAGAGTTTATCAGACGCATAAAATAATCTTGGTCCACATAAAAGATAAAATTAAAAGCAAGTAGCGGTGGCAAAAAGTAGTGCAAAAGCATAGTCTTCTGCATTTGCCTTTGACATTTGTAAAGGGGTTTTGGACACCAAGAAAAGTCCCAAAAGAATTAGATATTCCTTTTTTATAATAGAATTAGATATTCCTTTTGAAATGAATAAAAAATGTGATGTGTAAAAACATGGCCGCAATAATTATTATTCATTCCTAGAGATAATTGCTACACAAGATCACAAGTATTTAGGAGGATTTAACACCATCAATGAAGATTGCCCAGATCTAAAATCACATCAAATCTCCTTTATATTCAGATTTTGTGTAACAATCCAATCCTTATTTGTCAACATCATTTTCTTTCCCTTTTCTTCTCTTATGGAGATTATTGCTTTATGGCTGTAACAATATTTTCCCATTCTACCTTTTAGACAGGATCTGAAGTGTAACCTGCAAGTCCCTCCTTCCTCTATTTATTATCAGCCAGAACCCCTGTTCATGTATGAAGAATTTGCCCGAATAAATAAGAATTATACATGAAATTTTTCATGATTACAGAGCTAGGCTTTCAAAACCTACTTCATGCCCAAATACAACTTTCAGACTACCAACAACCTTAACCCCACTGAAACCATGGCCGAACCCACTACCAAAATGAATCCTGCAGAAAATCAAGGGGCTAATGATGGTGCTTCAATTTACATTGCAGGCCATAAACTCAACAGCTACTGAGGTATAACTATCCACTTTGAAGTAGGTCTGTAACTGTTCATTTGTGGCAAAGGGAAGGAAGGGTACCTCACTGGTGAAACTAAATTGCTGGTAGCAACAATTCTTAAGTACAGAAATTAGAAAGCTAAGAACAATCAAGCAGTGGTGCGATCACAAATTCTATAGAGCTGACTATCAGTGGAACTTCCATGTATTATAGACTGCTTCAGAAATTTGGGAGGCAGCTCAAGAAGCATATGAAAGTGTGACAGATATTTGAAATTGATTGTACCCACTACCAAGTAAAGCAAGGTAAAAGACATGCAAACCAATATTTTAATGAACCCTCTCAATGTTGACAGTAGCCAGATCAATTGAAGACATACACATGGATCTTCCCGGAAGATGCAGAAAACTACTGGAAGATTGATGAAAAGAGACACCTAAAAATTTCTGAGGGACCTTCATATCAATTAGATGATATCTAGGTACTAAGTGTCGTCCCACACTAAAAGCTGTTTTTTTTCTCAATTTAGGAGATTACAAAGCAGGAAGAAAACTCTACAAAGGAATATTAACAACGATGGACAGACCTCTCATGGTGCTGATTTAGTATTCCATAGGCAACCTAGCAATGCAAATAATAAATTTAAGCCCACAGCTAATAATGATAGCAAGAAAAATGGAAAGGGCTGGTTTGATCACTGTTAAAAAGGTGGGCACACCAAGGACAACAGCAAGAAGGTTGTTAAAATACATGTGTGTTTTTCCATGTCATTTACAGCTTTGCATTGTATTTGCTTTGTTTCTTCATTTTTGGTTAGAATTAGTAAGGCCAAGAATGACAGGTTAAATAAGGCAAGCCTGTTGCCTCTCTCCTATATAATTTTTCAAGGAGGAATGAATACTCTATCAACCAGCATACAGAAAATCTCCTCTTGGCCACATACACAATATGAAGGCCATGCTAAGATTTGGTCAGTTCCAAGCCCTGAACACCAAAGCCCTAGGAACTGTATCACAGGATTCAGGTGCAGGTGCTTGGTGGAGAAAAATATCTCCAACGGTCTCAAAGTATCCTCCTCATATTCAATCGAAGACAGAGGCAAGGAAGAATAAATTGATAGCAAAGCAACGCCCCATTGGGTCAATAATGAATGATCCAAAGCATGCCCTTGGAGGGCAACCACGATATATCCTGGTTGGTGAATTTGATGACCCTCGAATTTGGACACACATTCATAGATTACGACACGAGAGACTTCCAGGAGGCTGCTAAGATTCGTACTCCTTTGATTCCAATTCAAGTGTTATTCAAAGTCAAAGGGCAACTCCACAAGCTCGTATAGGGTAACATGTTTGTTATGGTTTATTATAACTCACTTATCAAGCTGTGGCAGCAAGTCAACATGTATGAAGTGCACCCCTAGGCACATACGAAAGACAAAAAATGTTTTCAAAATTTTGTAGAATGCAAAAGACTAAAACGCCCCATAAACAATTCATTTTATACTTTCTTCTTCCTCCTCCTTCCTACCACCACCTCACCCCTAAGACGCTCGATTGTGGTTTCTTCTTGAACATTGATCACTCCTCAAGCTAATTGACCTTCTTCTGTGCAAGATAAGAGCAAGGCTTTGGGTTTTTGATATGGTTTTGGGAGGTGTTCAAATATGGAGTTCACTGAAAAGGAATTAGAAATGAAAAACTAGGCTGGAGAAGCCATGGTAGCACAATGTAGTGAAATACTCAATACGTCATGCATAAAACCTTCCAAGTAAATTAATTGTGATCAAACGAAATCAGGCACCAGGGAGACTGACAATGACAAACAGTGGAGCTCAACAGATGGTGAGGATCAATGGAGCTCAGTGGTAACAGATGGTAATGGCAAGTGAACTCGAACCTGACGACATGAGTACATCTCATCACTCTTCCTCCAATCTATATCTGCATTTTGCTTTCCCACCATGTTTGTAACTACAACCTCATCACTTCAAAGCAAGCCAAACGTAGTCTCCCATTTAATTCCACCAATACTTCCCCTCTCTCCTTACTAAAAATCTATAACTTTCTCGCGCATCTTCAACCTACCTCATTGCCAGAGATAAAGAGGGAGAAGGAGAGGACGAACAAAATTCCACTCCTACTCTGAACTAATTAAAAGGTTAAATAAGGGAATTTCCTCCCGACACTCTTGATCAATCTATTAGATAGAATATGATGGGTAAAAGTAAAGGAGCACGCAGATTCTATATTGAAAGAACCAAACAAAGCCAAAATGAAGTTGCATTTCTGTAGTACATAAAACAAAATGATATGCCACATATCGCCATTTTTACAAGCTGATACTCGTTCTTTCAGGAGCACCAACCAGCATTAGGATTTACAAAAGGTTAAAAAAAGGCACTAACCTCCGTCTCCGTTTCTAGCTGCCAAAGACGCCGGGCTACTCCGGCGAAGAGCGGATCCCGAAGACTGCGATGAAGGAGGAACCCTTGGTTTAAACGACGTCGCTTTAAGATTGGCACCCGCCGAAACAAGCCGATCGAGCTTAGCAGTCCCCCTTTGGGCGCCATGTCTGTGAACGTTGGAGGCCATTGGCAAAGAAAATCAGTACGAGTTTCCGAAACTCACAGGATTTCAGCCATCTCAATGGATGATAAGGCTCTCGTCGTCGTTGTTCAAATTCAAAGGCATGGCTGCCAGTAAGCCGCCCCCGGGGGGGCTGTTGTTCCGTTGGTGCAGGTGAGAAGGAGCCAGAAACCGTCGAAGATTGGTGGTAGAACCTGCTACACTGCAGCAAGAATAAAGAATCTGTTTTCCTTGCTAACTGTGAAACTGTACTGTGAATGTAGCAATGGCATTGACTGAAGTAGCCAGCAAGTCCTGCGGAGAACTGAAGTGAAATGTTCCGTTCCAAACTTTCAATTCAGATGGGAGAGAATAAGTTTTATTTTGGAAAAATTGGACTTGTTAAAAATTTAATTAGAAAATAGTACCTAAAAACTTGGGAAAATGACAGATAAAGCCACTCCAATATATACAATTCCAGTTTGGGTCCTGGAATTGTAGAAATGACAGATTGGGTCATTGACCCAATCTGTCATTTGTATAATGAGGGCAAATGGACAAATTCGCCCTTCTGATGTAAAAGCAAAAAGAATTATACTGAAGCAAGGAAATGTCGATGACACTTATGGCTCTGTAGAATTATACTGCAGAAAGGTGGAGAACGTTGGACGGTGGGACCTTGGAAGGTGGTTGAAGCAAGCAAGGTTAGTAATTTCTCACACCACAGTTATCGTCTATTCATCCTGGGGTCTAATCACGGTGGTTTTGTTCTTCATTTTGAAGTATTGTGATTGTGGGTATGGTTGGGTAGACGTTCTTGGTCTTGAAATCTAAATGAGGTTGAAAAAAGCAAGTGAAGTAATTTTGTGCACCACAATCTTCGTCTTTTCATCCCCTACCATGATCATTTATCAATATGGGTCTATCAACGTTTTCTCCGACGAAGCTGATACAGTAAATGGGGTTACGTACAAAGGTCGAAGCATGCGTACTTATAGCGTTTCGTTGGTATAGTGAAGTTCGTATTTTTATTTGCCTGAGCTGAAGCATTTATCCATAGGGGTTTGTTGCTTTTTGGTAGGGTTTACAGTGATTAGTGTTGGGGAATGGAGGATTGTTTTTGGGAGAAAGTCGAAGCTGATTGCATGACATTGAAGTTTGAGGCATGACAGTTATGATAGGGTAGATATTATAGTTAATAGCTAATGTTAAAGTGTGAAAGCATAAACTAAAGTTGTTAATGAGTGAAGAGGTACTGTCATTTATCTTTATTTAAAGAAGTGAGAAAATATCATTATCGGTGAACTAACGTAATGATTATTCAATTGTTTCAGCTTGGCTTGCACAATGAATTGTAATATTGGCTCCACTCCTGGGAAGGAATTATTTTGTTACTTTCATGTAGATGGAGAATTTGTTATTAGTCCTGAAGGTCAAGTTAGATATCATGGAGGCAGAGTACATGCAGAAACGATAAAAGATGGAATGACACTTGAAGATTTAAGGGCAACTATATCAGAATGCAGTGGTTATGATGGTAGCAGTTGGGACATGAAGTATACTGTCAAGTATGATGAGAGGACATTAATTAATCTTGTTGATGATAGCGGAGTTAGAAATCTTTTTGTGCATAATGACATCATTGCGCATGTGTATGTATCATTGAAAGGCAATGAGACTGAAAGACATAAAATCAATGATCAAGAAATGTAAGTTATAAATTTCTTCTGGTTGAAGTTGTTATTTGTTGTGCTAATGTAGTTAATGTGGGAACAGATATTGTTAATATGCTAACAATTGTAGTTATCGTGTATGCAGAATTGAGACAGAACCACATGAGATGACTGATGCGCAAATGTAAGTAAAAAATTTTTTGCTGGTGTAAGTTGCTATTTGCTGTGCTAATGTAGTGAATGTAAGAACAAATGTTGTCAATATGCTAACAAATGTAGTTATCGTGCATGCAGAATTGAGACAGAACCACATGAGATGACTGATGCACAAATGTAAGTAAAAAAATCTTTACTGGTGTAAGTTGCTATTTGCTGTGCTAATGTAGTGAATGTAAGAACAGATGTTGTGAATATGCTAACAAATGTAGTTATCGTGCATGCAGAATTGAGACAGAACCACATGAGATGACTGATACACAAATGTAAGTAAAAAAATCTTTGCTGGTGTAAGTTGCTATTTGCTGTGATAATGTAGTGAATGTAGGAACAGATGTTGTCAATATGCTAACAATTGTAGTTATTATGTATGCAGATCCGAAATTGAAAGATGGTTGGGATTGTCACGCCAGGAAATGGCTGTATCTTATATCAGTTTGGGAAACGATTATGAGCATGTGAGTCATGAAAGTACTGCTGAATGCATTCCTTATCAAGTCTCAAGTGGCTCACATGTAGGCAGTGATGGCCCGCATGAAGGCCCAAGCTCCAGTGGAGGGAATGCAGTGGCACAAATTACTGAGATGAACTATAGTAAATGGTTGGAACTTTTTACAGGCGTGGGGCAGAAAATTGCACATGCTGGTTTGTTTAGGGAGTATTTGTACAAGTTTAGCATCGCACATAACTTTAAGCTTAAATTTTTGAGGAACAGCAAAGAGAGAATGTCTGTCATTTGCAAAGTGGAAGGTTGTCCATGGAAAATATGTGCAAGTGCATTGGGGAAGAATGTTCCATATCTTCGTGTCACCACATTCATTAATGAGCATGTCCATAGTGCCCAAGATAATTTGCAAGTTAGACAGTGTGCAAGATCTAATATGACATCCTGTATAATTATCGATGAGGTGAGGAACCATGTTGACAAGCGGGCAAGTGAAATAAGGACAAAATTGCAAACAGAATATGGTCTGAATGTTACATATAAACAGGCATATAGGGCGAAGGAGAAGGCAATAGAAGACATACATGGTAGACCTGAACATTCATATATGTTAATACCATGGATATGCCAAAGGCTGAAGGAAACCGATGAGAAAACAGTAGCTGAATGGGTAGCTGGTCCTAACTACAGATTTGAGCGTGTGTTCATCGCATACGGGTGTTGTATAGAGGGTTTCTTGGCTGGTGCTAGACCCGTTCTGTATGTTGACGGAACTCATTTATCTGGACCATATAAGGGAACACTCCTCGCAGGTTCAGCATATGATGCAAATAATGAGCTGTTGCCTTTTGCAATGGCTATTGTAAAGGGAGAGACAATTGATGACTGGACTTGGTTTATGTCTATGATTAAAAAGATAGTTGGCTCAAAGCCATTAACTATTGTGTCAGACCGTCATAATGCCATAATAGGAGCTGTACAATCAGTGTTCGGTTCTGACAGGCATGCTTATTGTTATAGGCACGTTAAGGAAAACTTTTGTGCAGAGTGGCTGAAATTGAACAGAGGTAAAAGGAGCAGAACACGCTCCAAAGAGGATGCATTAATGCTTCTTAATAAAATTGCATGGGCTAGGGTTGACGATGAATTTGACAAGGCAATGGCAGAAATGAGGGAGTTCTCTCCAGAGTTATTTGACTGGCTTAACAATCATGGGGATGTAGATAAGTGGGCTGTGAGCAAGTTCCCATATAAACGATGGGATAATATAACCACCAATATTGCTGAATCATTCAATGCTTGGATGGTCAAGGAAAGAAAGCACAATGTAGCCCAAATGATTCATGAGCATCGTGAGAAAGTTGCGAAAAAGATGCAAGCATCAAGTGTGGCAATGACAAAATGGAAGAGTTGTATAGGGCCAAAGATAGAGACCAAAGTAAAGGAAAATGTGGAGGTTAGTAAGCAGTTCATTACAACAGATTATGGTAGGGGAAATGTCAATGTCCAAACCTCACGTGGACACCACCGAGTGAGTCTCAGCTTGCACCATTGTAGTTGTGCAGAGTGGCAGATGACGGGGATTCCATGTAGGCATGCTTGTGCAGCGGTGAAAACTGTCCATGGTGATATTTATGATTACATTGAGGGATGGTACAAATTTTCATGTCAGCAGAAGATTTATGGGAGGTGCATGATTCCGGTGGTCACAATTGACATGCCAAATTTAAATGACTATAGGATGGAGAATATATCTAATCAAATTTTGCTGCAACCCCCAATCACAAGTCGGGCTCCTGGAAGGCCTAAGATTACAAGGCATGAGTCACAATACCAAGACAAAAAGATATACCGCTGTACTCAATGTCATCAAGTTGGACATACTAGAAGGACGTGCAAAAACCCAAATCCAAGTTGATTTGGGATGTACACCATGTGATGCGTCATTTTTTTGTTAGCACTGTAGGGCCATTTTTTTGATTGAAAAAATGTAAATAGTTTAATGTATTGGCCATGTTGGTTTTTGGTTAATGGCCATGTTGGCATTATGTTGTTAGGTATGTTTTTTGTTGGTCAATGCTTTAACTGTTATTGTTATATCATTGTAATTACTGTGGACGGTTGGGTGGGTGATGTCCTTGACAATGAAACATTAAGTGGAAGCATTATCTTAATGTCCACTTGTCATGAAACATATGTAAATCAGTTATTGTGATGTATTTGATGATTATTGGTTAATGACTAAAGTGATGTTGTTATTCTCTATTCTATTGTTGAAGTTGTGATGCATTTGCTGTCATGTTATATTTCCTATCTACAATTATGCTACTGTGAGTAGTTATTGGTGCATGACAAACGTGCATGTAGGTAATGCTTAAACACTTCTAGTGAATTGTTGATCAGATGTGGGTAATAACCTCATCACTTGTACTGGCTCTCAATGAAACTCCTCATGGGCCATTTCTGCGTACGTTGATATAGTAAGTAGTTATTTTCTACACCGATGTAGGTAATGCCTACACACTTCTAGTGAACTGGTGATTAGATGTTGTTAATAAGGTCATCACTTGTACTGACTCTCAATGAAACTCCTCATGGGCCATTTCTGCGTACGTTGACATAGTAAGTAGTTATTTTCTACACAGATGTAGGTAATGCATACACACTTATAGTGAATTGTTGATCAGCTGTGGGTAATAACCTCATCACTTGTACTGGCTCTCAATGAAACTCCTCATGGGCCATTTCTGCGTACGTTCATATAGTAAGTAGTTATTTTCTACACAGATGTAGGTAATGCCTACACACTTCTAGTGAACTGGTGATTAGATGTTGTTAATAAGGTCATCACTTGTACTGACTCTCAATGAAACTCCTCATGGGCCATTTCTGCGTACGTTGACATAGTAAGTAGTTATTTTCTACACAGATGTAGGTAATGCCTACACACTTATAGTGAATTGTTGATCAGCTGTGGGTAATAACCTCA